TATTAAAGATCGTGGTGAATAAGTGATGTCTCTCGTTACGTCGAGAATGTCGAATGAAAGTCGTCTCTCGACGAAGGTTTCTCTTTGGTGGAAATTGTGGCTCGATTTCCTCGAAAATGAAACTTCAAACGAGGTCGCTTTGTTCTACTTTATTCTCGGTACACTTGTTCGACCAGGATTTTCACAGTCACCGGTAGATAACGATCGAAACGCTTGTAAATTGTCAATCGTGTCAATCGGCGTTGAAGGACCTGTGATCGACACTCGGGTCGGTTCCTAAAAGGCAAGAAAATAATAACGATAAAATCACGCTGAAATCAGTACGCTGCGTACTCGCAGAAATATATATACATACATAGGACACGTTAAATATAAGTACAGCCACGTTAAAATCGGGTGCGTTCGTGAGCGATATCGCTTGTACTCGACGTTTTATACCGACGAGTATACGGGAACGTTTCGAAACCGGCACAGTAAGAAATCTTCGGTTAGAAAGCGACACGTTTCGAATTCGACGTTCGTGACGTATATCAACGATATCGTGACGTGGCCAATTTATCACATTTTCGCGTTCGATTTGACATCTGTGTCCCCGGTGTAACTAATGAGTGATGCGCGAGAATAACACGAGATATACAAGAAACACACTCATTATATTATATATAATATATAGACATAAATATTAGCTATGCATGTGAGGGCATATTACACCATTTAATTAATACCTGTTGCACCGTTCCATTTCGCTGACATTAATATTAACGCGCATGCATCACTCCTCCAAAATCCTCACAATAATTAATACGGATCGGAGCGCGATGAATCGCGCGCATTAACCCCTGTGATCGCGAGAAACGATCGATGGTTTCGACGTTAGAGGTGCCATTTTTTATACTTTTTTTTTTTTCTTATCTTTTTAACTTTGGACATTATCGTCCAGTTGTACACGTATGCAAATTCGTATTGTTGTAATAACGATCAGAAGTGGCAGAAGAAAAAAGTGGAAAAGAAAACCGTGATTTCTCTCCTTCTCTTTCTTTCTCTATTTATCTATCTATCAACTTTTCGTTCTATTCATCTTGTACCGCGTCCTCCTTTCTCTCCGTTAATCGTGTATTTGTTATTGCTTTTATAGAAGCGATTCCATTTCACGCTAGCCAATTTCCGTTGGAATTGATCGTTCGATGAAGCTTTCGATCTACAGGCAACGGGAAATCTCTATAATCTC